ACATAACAAAATAACCTTAATACAGAGTAACGCACAGTAACGCAATAAGAGTTTGATGAATAAACAAATAAGATAACTCCAGAACAAATTAAAATGAACGTAATATAATTAACATAATACTAATTTCATGAATAAATATATTAAGATAATCTTAATTTAAATTGAAACAACATAACATTCGAATAATAAGAGTTCACAAACAATAACATAGATAATTATTATGGAGGGTCTAATCTAATACAGGCTAATTTGAGTTTATTAACATGAACTATCTTGGTTTTATTATTAACTCCTACAATTATTTCTGCAGTTAGATCATTAAATATTTTACTAATCTTATATGGTCCTATCCAGCTAGAATCGAATTTAGATGTTTTAGGCTCTTTAAATAAATATACATCGTCACCTACGTTGAATTTATGAGGATTTACATTTTTATCATAATTTGTTTTGCTTTTTAGTTTTGCTTTTTCTAAGTTTATTGCTGCTGTAGCTTGAAACCTGAGTTGTCGTTATTTTGGAGAATAGGTCATCTAAATGTTCAATAAACGTTTTCGGCAATTTTTGATTTGCAAATTTTGAGGGAATAATGGCCTTGATGCCAAATACAAGTTCGTGTGGAGTGAAGCCTGTACCTTTATGCACCGATGTATTATAAGAGAATATGCCAAATCTAATCCAATCGTCCCAATCATTCTTTGAACAATAATGTTTTAAATAGTCTACAAAAACCCTGTGAGCTCGTTCGAGTGACCCTAGCGATTGTGGATGAAAAGCGGTAGAGGTAATTTTTTGAATTTTGAAAATTTTGCAAAAGTTATTCATTATTTTACTTGTGAAATTAGATCCTTGATCGGTGTGAATGACCCGGGGACAACCAAATCGACTAATGAATTGTTCAGCCAATGCCTTTGCTACAGATATAGAATCGATATTGGGAAGTGGAATTGCGTCGGAATACTTCGTAAGATTATCCTGAAGAGTGAGTAAATAACGGTTTTGTTTTTTTGTTATAGGTAATGGACCCACAATATCCATTTGTACTTTCTCAAACGCTCTTTTAGGAGTATCTGTTAATCTCATGGGCTGTTTGATTTTAGCAGAAAGGATTTTATTCCTCTGACAACTGGGACAAGAACGAACGAAATCAGCGATTTGTCGATTCATTTTCGGCCAACAGAAATCCTCTCTTATCCGTTTGAATAACTTAGCTGTACCCTGATGACCTCCCACTACAGACTCATGATATTCTTGTATAATAGAAGATCTTCTGGATGGAGAAGGAACTATAATTTCGCCAGTGCAAATTGTAATTGAATATTTTGAATTATTAAAATTTTGCCTTAGAAGCCTTTTGAGAGAATTCCATGTAATTGGTTCTAAATTATTATGGGTTTTAGCTATGCTGATTGTTGTTACTTTTAAGGATTCCATGAGATGTTTAAGAGATGTCAAAGAAGATGTTAAATGATCAAGACTCTGTGATTCTGTAGAATTTGTTTTGGAAAATAAATGGAACATATGATGATTTTCATCCGGGAAGACCATTGCATTCCCTATATTAACTTTATAAAGTTGTATTTGCGAAATGGAAAATTTTCCATGAATCAATAAATTTTTACTGGTCTGCGAGATAATTTTACAATCAATTGGTAGAAAATGAACTAGATTATGTTTGCGCAAATGAAGATGATCCTTAGAGTAGATGATATTAGGGAAATTAAAGGAATGAGATGATTGTGCTGTTGGAGAAGGAGATGTTGTCATAGTCAGGATTCTAATATTTTCATCTTTAGAAGTCGTTTCCACGGAGGATCGTGATCGTTCCCATAACGACTGTGTCGGCGCCTCAACATTTGTTGGGAAAGATTCAGACAGCTGGCGCTGAGCCGCGTCATTTTGCCGGGAAGGATATGTGTCCTGCTCAGCTGCTGACACGACGCCAGTCGCGGGCCCTTTGTTACCGACCTGAAGCGGAG